CCATCCAAACGGGGGTTAAAAAAGGGTGTGTACTGGTACCAACTCTCTTTTCCATTTTCTTGGCTGCCTTCCTTACTCGTGCCAGCTGCAATCTAGCCGGAGGGTTGAAATCGAGTGCCAGATGAAAGGTCTTTTCAAAATAAGATGACTCCAGGCAGGAACAAAGGTGTCTGCAGCTTCCATTATTGAGCTTCAGTATGCAGACGACCTCACGCTTTGTCGCTCACACTGAACGCGACCTACAAGAGATCCAGAACACCTATGCAGATGCACACTTCACTCTTGAGGTGAATGTGCGTAACACTCAGATTCTCTTTTAGCCTGCCCCTGATTCAGTCACACCTCTACTATTCATCCAGCCAGCTTAATGGTACTACCCTCTCTAATAATACCCACTTTCGGTATCTCGACCCGTCCACCACTGCGGACATCGAATAAGAGATTCAGCATCGATCAGATGTGCATCTCAAGCCTTTGGCAGACTCCGAAACCGTGTATTCAGCTGTAGGAAGCTGAACTCATTTACAAAGTTACACGTATATTGAGCAGTGGTCCTCCTCGCCCTGCTATATGGCAACGAGACATGGGTCACATACCGGTGGCACATCAAAGCACTTGAAAACTTTCACCAACATAATCTACGTTCCATCCTCCCAGTTCGCTGGGAAGACAAGAGAACAAATGCCAATATTCTTGAACAAATGTCAATATTCTTGCTGATACCAACTGTAGAAGCATCGAGGGTACCATTATCTATGAACAACTACGCTGAACTGGCCATGTTACTCCCATGGACGAAGGTAGACTGCCAAAGCAGCTACTTTACAGTCACCTAACGACTAGTAATCATAACGGTGGTGGGCAACTGAAAAGGTATAAGCATAGTCTAAAGACAAACCTGAAAAAGTGTGAAATCGACCCCCTCACCTGGGAGATGATTACTCCACACCGTAGCGCTTGGAGGATCACTACACAAGAAGGTGTCAATACTTTCGAGTTAGCCCGACTGCATAACGAGGCAGACAAGCGCCAGCGCCGGAAAGATGCTGCCGCCGCCCCTCCCGCACTAGATGTAGCCCTCACATGTGCAACATCTGTGATCGATCCTGCCCGTCCCGTATCGGCCTCTTTCGCCACTTCAGAACTCACCAACCTAGGTGACATCCTTAATAACTAATATCATTGTGTCATAGCTGGATGATCGTCATACTCGATTCCGAGTGACAGCAAAGTAGTAATATTAGTAGTAGTAGTAGTGTGTGTGTGTGTGTGTGTGTGTGTGTGTGTGTGTGTGTGTGTGTGTGTGTGTGTGACACGTCACATGAATTATGGAAAAGCGTAATTTACTTACTGGTCTAGACGATTTTTTTTTCTTTGAGTAATTGTGTTTACTTTGGTCATTATGGAGCGAGACACAAATGTTACTCACAACGTAGCGAGCCATTAAACGAGACACAAGGGTTACTCACAACGTAGCGAGCCATTAAACGAAACACAAAGGTTACTCACAACGTAGCGAGCCATTAAACGAGACACAAGGGTTACTCACAACGTAGGAGCCATTAAACGAAACACAAAGGTTACTCACAACGTAGCGAGCCATTAAACGAGACACAAGGGTTACTCACAACGTAGGAGCCATTAAGCGATCCACATTCATTTATTCTGTTATTTGGAAGGGCTTTTGGGTGAGGCTGGTCCACAACATGAGCTGGAGAACCCCAGCCGTCACTCACCATTACTTGGGTGGGGCGACCAGAACATGGTATTAAGTACAAATATTCTTACAGTGAGAGAAAGCAGCCCGAGTTCTTTCCTCACGTTTATTTTACCGTTCGTGACTTCCAGCTGGTAAAATCCTGCTGGGGTGTAGTGTGCTCTGTGTTAAAGACTGCTCGTAAATATACTCTTGGCATGACATGGTGGCGATATACTGTACTGTATATACACTTTTGAATAAATATTTATCTTCTCCACGCTACCGTTGTGTATCTACAACATAAATAAATATTTACTGTTCGCTTTAAATGAACATCAGACACTTTTAGAATTGAGGAACAAATTACCTATGACTTTTTCCAGGAACACCTAAAAAAGACATTCTCGCGTCTGTGGTAGCCATAGATGGACCTCCACCTTTGAATAATAAAAGTTCTATTTGTCGTAAAGTTGTACTAATCTCAAGAACGAATAACTTGATATCATCTCTCTCTTATGGATTAATCTACTTTATAAAAAAAATATAAATACTACATCAGTAATAAGCTGAGCTGCGAGATTCTGATGTTACTTTTTAACACTAGGATAACCTGAATGACTAGTAAGTTGGTTTATGGTATATTGATAGATAGTTGGACAAGGTTTGGAGGGTTTTGTGATTGCTCCATCAAAGTTCAAGCAGCATATTATGACCGATCTGAATGTGGAAATTAAGGAAGATGTTCTTGACTTGACTCTTTACTTGGGATGTTGTTTTTGTGGATATATATCTTCAGTCTATATATAATAATAATTATAATAATAATAACAATAATAATTGGGAAAAATCATGATTGTCGAATTCTGTCTGTTTTAGATTATTTAGTTCAAGAAGGGATAGCGTGGTTGTCCGACACGGGCCGGTGTCATTTATTTCCTGATAAAAACAGAATTAGCGATGAGATCCAGTAGTACTTATGGGTCAATAAAGGCAGTGCGATAAGGTTAACGTGGTATTTATTGGGAAATGGGTTCCATAGACCTGACGAATCGTTAGGGACAGTGCAGGTGCAGCAAACTGTAATTTAAGACTTCGATACAAAAGGAGGCAGCGTAGTCGATAATGCACTCAACCATCTTCACTTTCCCAGCTGTAGAGTTAGGTATTAAGTTGGATGGACCCTCAGGATAGGGGAGGAGAGTTGTATCGACTCGGCCGCCGCACCCTATTTATTGCATTTATTACTAGATATAAAAATATTGTCAAGATTGTGCAACACTAAAATACAATCAAAGTATCAGATCTGGGGTCTGAATCATTCACGTCCGCCCTGAGCGCTGGTTAAACACAAAACAACTTTAAAATGCCCAGCGTCATGGTGTGAATATCTCGCACAGATGACTTGCCAGTTGCACAAAGCACTCGTCACGTGACTCAACCATTAGGTCACTCAGCCCAGGTATTTTGCAGGTGCTGCTGACCACTGCCAGGACCTGCTACTCACTTGTTATACGAGGTCAGGTGTGTACTGTACTGTACTGTACGTTCCTGAAATGGTTCTCGTGTTTGTTATTTTATATAAACCTAACATGGGTGCTAGCGAACAACTGTTCGGATTGGTAGAAGCTAAGCTTATTTCAGTATTATAAGGTAATTGATTATTTATGACTACAAACATGATATTATCCACTATAAAGTCTAGTCTCCACCAATTAAATATAAATTGCAAAAATGTTTTATATAAGGACGCCTCTCGCTGCCGTACACCAGTTTCGATGGCTAGCTTACAAATAATGTATTATCTTGTTACGAATATGAATAGTTTATGTATTTAGTTAGCATTAAAAGAAATTTGTAATATTATTTCACACTGAATAAAATGATAGTTAACTGTTCTCTAGCTCATATTCCCGCGTCTTTCTGGTTAACTAATCAACCAATCACACGCCGTCGCTTCACCAATCCATCACTGTTGAGTATGTAAATGACAACACGAGAACCAATTCTGTTCGTTTACAGCAGACCATTTCAGCTGATCGTCACCAGCGGGAGTCAGTAAGCGGATCATTGAATACTTGAGAAATGAGGCAACATTATATTTTCCCACAAGATATATCTGAAACATTAGATCATGATCGTGTACCTGTGTCTGGATTGCCTGATGGCAACAGTGAATTAAGAACCACCTTTTTTTTTTACATCCATAATACAAGCACTTCCTCACATAACATTAAATATTAGAAACTGGTTCTTTACATTACAATATTAGCTGTTTAAAAGTTTCACGAACACAGTAACTTCACACAAAACGTAATCATGCTACTTACTAAAAATTTTCACAAGATCTTACTATTATATTGTTAATATATTCTTAAAACAAAAACCTGATTAGATGTAACTACTGTACAGTACTCTCAGGTTTTGATTCTTACAACTGGTGAATGGATTTATGAGTTATTAGTTTAATATCAATCTCTTTTGGCGTTCACTCCTATGAAGAAGACTTCTTGACTTAATGTTCCCTCTTGTTTTTATGTAGGTAAGGAAGGTGATGCTGAGGAGGGGAAGACCCTCTTCCTAGATCTATCAACATCACTTGTCTGTTGATAGTATTTTATTGATGATTGTTGTGGTAATTGTTCCATACTGCTGGTGGAGAGGAATAAAAAAAAAAGAACTTGAAAGGTGTGGAGTTTGTTGTTAAGACAGACTTGTGGCGTTGGGATAAGGTATTTATGAATGTTCGCCGAACTCGCTAATAAAGAGTCATTTCATTTTAAATTTGTAAGTTTCTTGGAAAGGCAAAAGTTCGCTGTAAAGTTTTTGACGATATGACACAGCAGCTGTGTACTTAATGTCCTTGGAAAATGTGTCTCCTTATTACAATCATCAGCGAGTATCCTTCTTCTCTGTGTCCCCTCACTTGTCAGAGAACTCCGTATTCATCACTACCTTGCCACACAGTTCCGTGTTCAATACTATCCTGGCCAACATATTAGGCGACCGTGTGGTAGACCTCACTAGAACAATTTAAACAATTGTACCAATCGTGGCGTCCGTGAATGTCGTGGTCGTTGCGGACACTACTAGCTAAATGCCTCATTTGATTGGTGGAGTTAGTTACTCTCGAGACACAAGACTAATTCTAACAGAAACTTTCTCAGTGAATTTGGCTCTTCCAATACATCGTAAAAACATACTAAATGTGTTGAAAATCGAAGGATAAGAACTTTGGTTCTTCAAAGGAAGGGCATCTTCGAATTAGCATTTAAATCAGGAAAAAGGAGTGAAGTATTGTTACATGAACGGCCGTGTGGATACAGCCGTCGCCTCCAGCAGTAACCATCTCGACTGATGAATACACGACCAAACGAGTGTGGAGCGTCTTGCCTGACGCCCAAAGCACCCATCCACCCGACAGCGTCTGTTCGTGACTCTCCTGGACGTCAGTGCCATAGCTGGATGACATGTAGATTGTAGAGGATACCTTATACATTCTCAAAAAGTATCTCTCCTTTCTTAGGCCAACGTACTTCCTAGTGTGCGTCCAGCCCTTCAACAACCACTAATTTAGAGATTACTGTAAGCAATTAAAATCCATGTTCGCAAAAGCCCTCAACATTTCCCTTATAGAAGACTCTCAATGGGATTAAGCAACTCTTCGAGTCTGCTTGGGTGGAATGCCTCCTAAATTGATTTACCGAAGTTTCTCTCCTCCTACATGGCCTCCTATAAACTGACAAGACAGATCAATCCAGAACACATTAAAACGGATGCAGGAGTTTAATGACCAAAGTTTTAGGGAAGCAGTCACCCAGTGTGGGACCATCACAAACCTAAGCAGCCATACCAACGCCCCCAGAGGATAATGGCAAACTACCCGACTGGGAAAAGAGCATCAGAGAAATCGCCTCAGACATGGAGAGGGGTTGTCTGCAGCTGGCGAATCCACATCACGCTGGGGACTTCCCACTGGCCACTGTAAATTCTTTCTTGAGCAATTGCCTTCTGTCCTGGAGTAGCCCGTTGTCTTGCAGCCTCTATTCACACTCTTTACGAGTCTCTGTGACAACGAGTGGAATGGCCAACACTGCAATCACGTCTGCAACAAGGGTCATCTGGGCGATAGAATGTGAGGCTTAATAAAGTTAACAACGTCATTTGAAGAGGACCCTGCCCACCACTGGCTGCAGAGTACGGAAGATATATGCAGCTATCAAAAAGTGACCAGACAGAATCACACCGTTGCCCTGAGGAAACGGTAAACAGTTCATATGACACTACACACGTGATTCCAACCTGGCAGCTACCTCTCATTTAGTGTGGCTGGAGCAGGAAGATCAGCAAAGCTCGAAAAGAAACCAGGAGGCACTGTGCGGTACCCTGAGTTATAAATATTTCCTGAGTTATAAATATTCATCGTTTTTTGGAAGCTTCTGACTGGCCAAAAATAATCAAGATCATAAAAATACATATAAATTAATAGTTTCATACGAAATCAAACCAAAATTAACCTAACCTACTCTAGTTATAGTATTTATATGGTAGTAAACGACACCTTAAATGAAACAAAACAAATTGTACGATAAACGAATTAATTTCCACTGAGTTACAACAATGAAAACAAAAACTTCGAATGCCTTTAAAGCTTAATCTGCAATTATCTCTATTTAGCGTGACACACACACACACACATATATATATATATATATATATATATATATATATATATATATATATATATATATATATATATATATATATATATATATATATATATATATATATATATATATAGTTACGCCGTCTCTTAATTTACTTCAATATCCAGGTTCTAGGCGTAACCAAACAAAAAAGTGAAGTAAATTAAAAGGGAATAAAAATAAATAAAGTAAACCTTTAAGAATTAAATTAATTAAATATCAACACAATAAAGAGCCTCGTAGGCTGTCACAAATTGATTCACCATCGAAACTTTTAAGACACAAATGATACTAAACATCGAAACATCAAAAGAATAATAATAAAGCATTGGATTACGTTAACACAGCATAAACATATAAAAACTAACACTGAAATTAACTAACGTGAAACAACACTGAATTACTTAAATGTAACGAAGCAAATACTGATGGACATAAATAGAGACATAAATAGGTACTCACATAGATATACCACATTGGTGGCGACAGGAACAACACAAATAAATTAAGTATAAGTAACAGGTGACGAGTGTCACTCAAAGGATGTGGACTGTATGACAAGAGGACTGAACTAACTCTGTCAGTTGGTGGGTCCTATCTATAAGGTCGGTTCCCGCCACGCGACCCGCCGGTGGGTCGCTTAACGATGCAGATGGTCGTTAGAGAACAAATAATAACGGTTAAAACCTTAACAGCACAGGGTTAAGGTGACTAGAGTATATAATAGTAAATACAACACATCATTACAGGAATAATATGGAACATGGAAGCATGTTATATAAAAAAAAATATAAAAATACGACACGGTCGTAACAATATATATATATATATATATATATATATATATATATATATATATATATATATATATATATATATATATATATATATATATATATATATATATACTAGCAGAAACGCCACCCTCCGGGCGGCTCGTTCGCTAGGCCGCGGTAGGACGCCACCCTCGGGGAGGCTCAACATTGTCTCACTGTTCAGTCCTCAAAACTTCTTCTTCCGTCAATAGTTCATTAACGGTGTATGTAAGTTCCACCACGTTTTTCACTACAACGGTACACAAAAGTATATTTTTTTTAGCACTAAACTGTTATTATTTTATTGTCTAATCATCACTGCATATAACACCATCCATAATCACTACATATAACACCATCCATCATCACTACCTATAACACCATCCATCATCACTACTTAAAACACCATCCATCATCACTACTTATAACACCACCCATCATCGCTACATATAACACCATCCATCATCACTACATATAACACCATCCATCATCACTACATATAACAACATCCATCATCGCTAAATATAACACCATCCATCATCACTACTTAAAACACCATCCAACATCACTACAGATCGGTAAAGTAGTTTCCGAGATTCTCGTACTGACACACAAACACACAAACAAACAAACAGACAGACATCACTACATATAACACCACCCATCATCACTACCTAAAACACCATCCATCATCACTACCTATAACACCATCCATCATCACTACCTATAACACCATTCATCATCACTACCTATAACATCGTCCATCATCCCTACTTAAAACACCATCCATCATCACTACCTATAACACCATCCATCATCACTACCTATAACACCATTCATCATCACTACCTATAACATCGTCCATCATCACTACCTAAAACACCATCCATCATCACTACCTATAACACCATCCATCATCACTACTTAAAACACCATCCATCATCACTACTTATAACACCATCCATCATCACTACCTATAACACCATCCATCATCACTATCTATAACACCATTCATCATCACTACCTATAACATCATCCATCATCACTACCTAAAACATCATCCATCATCACTACCTAAAACATCATCCATCATCACTACCTAAAACACCATCCATCATCACTACCTATAACATCATCCATCATCCCTACCTAAAACACCATCCATCATCACTACCTATAACACCATCCAGCATCACTACCTATAACACCATCCATTATCACTACATATAACACCATCCATCTTCACTACATATAACCCCATCCATCATCACTACCTATAACACCATCCATCATCACTACTTAAAACACCATCCATCATCACTACTATAACACCATCCATCATCACTACCTATAACACCATCCATCATCACTACCTAAACATCATCCATCATCACTACCTAAACACCATCCATCATCACTACATAAACACCATCCATCATCACTACCTATAACACCATCCAGCATCACTACCTATAACACCATCCATTATCACTACATATAACACCATCCATCTTCACTACATATAACCCCATCCATCATCACTACCTATAACACCATCCATCATCACTACCTAAAACATCATCCATCATCACTACCTAAAACATCATCCATTATCACTACCTATAACATCATCCATCATCACTACCTATAACATCATCCATCATCACGACCTATAACATCATCCATCATCACTACCTATAACACCATCCATCATCACGACCTATAACACCATCCATCATCACTACCTATAACATCATCCATCATCACTACCTATAACACCATCCATCATCACGACCTAAAAAACCATCCATCATCACTACCTATAACACCGTCCATCATCACTTTCTAAAACACCATCCATCATCACTACCTATAATGTCATCCATCATCACTACCTATAACGTCATCCATCATCACTACCTATAACGTCATCCATCATCACTACCTATAACGTCATCCATCATCACTACCTATAACACCATCCATCATCACTACCTATAACATCATCCATCATCACTACCTAAACATCCATCATCACTACCTATAACATCATCCATCATCACTAATGGCAACATCATCCATCATCACTACCGCAACACCATCCATCATCACGACCCATAACATCCATCCATCATCACCACCTAACATCATCCATCATCACTACCTATAACACCATCCATCATCACGACCTAAAAACCATCCATCATCACTACCTATAACACCATCCATCATCCAAACCTATAACACCATCCATCATCACTACATATATAACACCGTCCATCATCACTTTCTAAAACACCATCCATCATCACTACCTATAATGTCATCCATCATCACTACCTATAACGTCATCCATCATCACTACCTATAACACCATCCATCATCACTACCTATAGCACCATCCATCATCACTACCTATAACACCATTCATCATCACTACATATAACACCATCCATCATCACTACATATAACACCATCCATCATCACTACCTATAACACCATTCATCATCACTACCTATAACACCATCCATCATCACTACCTATAACACCATCCATCATCACTACATATAACACCATCCATCATCACTACATATAACACCATCCATCATCACTACCTATAACGTCATCCATCATCAGTACCTAAAACACCATCCTTCATCACTACCTATAACACCATCTATCATCACTACCTATAACACCATTCATCATCACTACCTATAACACCATTCATCATCACTACATATAACACCATCCATCATCACTACCTGTAACACCATTCATCATCACTACCTCTAACACCATCCATCATCATTACCTATATCGCAATTCATCATCACTATATATAAACACCATCCATCATCACTATGTATAACACCATCCATCATCACTATACTGTATATAGCACCATACCATCACTATTTGTAACACCATCATCATCACAATACCTAAAC